GAAGTAGGAGGATCACTTGAGGCCAGAAGTACAATGCCAGGCTGAACAACATAATGAAACCCTATCTCTAATTTTTTTTAAATGGGGGAAAAGCGCACACGTATACAAATATATGCACAGGATGTTAACTTTAGCTTAAAAAATGGGGCCAGGTGCGGTGGCTCACGCCTGTAATCCTAGCACTTTGGGAGGCCAAGGCGGGTAGATCACCTGAGGTCAGGAGTTCAAGACCAGCCTGGTTAACACGCGAAACCCCGTCGCTACTAAAAAATACAAAAATTAGCCAGGCGTGGTGGCAGGCGCCTGTAATCCCAGCTACTTGGGAGGCTAAGGCAGGGAGAATTGCTTGAACCTGGGAGGTGAAAGTTGCAGTGAGTTGAAATCGTGCCACTGCACTCCAGCCTGGGCGAAACAGTGAGACTCTGTCTCGGGGGAAAAAAAAAAAATTGGGCCAGGCTTGGTGGCTTGTGCCTGTAATCTCAGCACTTTAGGAGGCTGAGGCGGGCGGATCACTTGAGGCCAGGAGTGCGAGACCAGCCTGGCCAACATGGTGAAACCCTGTCTCTAGTAAAAATACAAAAAAATTAGCTGCGCATGGCGGTGAACACCTTTAATCCCAGCTACTCGAAAGGCTGAGGCAGGAGAATCTCTTGAACCCAGAAGACGGAGGTTTGCAGTAAGCTGAGTTTGCACCACTGTCCTCCAGTCTGGGCAAGAGTGAGACTGTCTCAAAACAAACAAACAACTGGAAACCATCTATATCTATATTTAAAATGTTTAAATAAAAGGCAACCAGGAAGAGACAGGTGGCAAGGTTTCAAAGTTGGTAGATATTTCTGCCTTTGCACTAACCTCATGTAGATTTTTCTCTACACCTTCCTCTATCCCTCGACTCCTTACTCCCTAGGTCTCTTTTCTGATTCTGGATGCTCAGCCTAACAGCTAAAATTTGCATTTAAAAAAACCATGAATATCTGACCACTTTCCAAAAAGCTGGATTAAGTCACTCTAAAGTTTTGGAGAACTGCAACCGTTTCCAAATTACCTAGATTATTTGTCTTCTGGCCTCTGGCCCCATTTGCCTGTAACTCAGTAGAATTTATTAGGCATCTACCTGGACAGGTAGCATTTTGGTCACCAGATAGAAAGCAAGTTATAAGTACACACACATACAACCCCCACCCCCAGACTGAAATACTATTGAACAAAATGTTTGTGGGTTGTGGGATTACACATCTTTTTCTGTGTTTTCTGGCATTTTCACAAGAGTTCTACATAGTACATGCATTACTTTTATGGTTTCAAAAAAAGGTTTTTTAAAATTAAAAAACAGTTCTGAAAGAAAAAAGGGGTTGGATCTTGGGTAAATGTGGGTAGAGAAGGGTTATTAACTTTTTACCAGACCGTTCATTCTTCCATTCATTCAACAAATGTCCCCGAGCATTACAACAGGCACTCAGATGCGATTCCTGTCTTTGTGTTGCTTATATTCTAGAGGGGCACATATGTGCATATGTGTTTTGTGTGGCTGGACACAGTGCTCCTGCGGGAGAGTGGAGGGAAGACAGGCACCTGGCATGTGGGGCCATGGTGAGGGGTCTGGATAATAATCTGCAAGTGATGAGATTACACTGATCGGATCTTACAAAGAGTTGCTTATATAATGTTACTGTTAGTCTTTAGAGCTTGTTTTGAAGGTGTAAAATCCAAATTATTAATACTTAACTTCATCCTGCACCCTGGCCCAGTTGTGACTTGCTTAGACATACTTCCTCGTTAGGCAGCTTCTACATGACTCACTAAATCTCTGCAAGTATGCAAGCTGTTTCTTTCACTTGCTCAACTCCCAGGGCAAACCTCATCTTAAATATTTTACTCCTGACTCTAAAATACATTTCACAAGCTCAAGTATTTTAACAAAAAAGCCAGTGTCCAAACCTCTGTGACTCCCTCCGAAAAACCTTCAAGTCCTGTTCACACGTCTAGCCTGGAGAGCCGCACCGAGTAAACTGGGATGTCTCTAGGTCCTCCTTCTACTCCGCCTCTGGTCTGTGATTTGCAATTACAACAATGATCCTCAACTCTGGCTGCCCCTTGGAATCTCCTGGGGAGCTTAAAAACTAAGATACCAGCCGCACCCCAGACCAATTAAATCATATCCTTGGGGGATTAGATGCTAAATTCTATAGGCTCATTATCTCTGTTACCTCTGCAATCTGTCCATTTATTCTGGCACCTAATTCAGGCCCTCATTACCTCTTAGTTTTGCTAATTAAACAGTATTTTCATTGTTCTTTCCTTCTCATTTAATAATAGTAGAGGTAGCGGTAGTAGTGGTGGTGATGCTGGGAGTAGTAAGCTAATAGTTATTGAGGACTTACTTTGTAGTAGAGGCACAATTCTAGACTAATTACAATACACTGGCTCATTTTTGCACAACGACTCTATGAAGTCAGTCCTCTTCTAATCCCCATTTAATAGATGAGGAAACCAAGGCAAAGAGAGATGAGGTAATTTGCTTGGAGCTGCATAAATAGAAAGAGGTGGATCTGGGATTTCAACCAAGTGTATTATACAGCCTCCCACTCATATACCCTCCTCCCTGGGTAGCTCAGGTTTTGCTCCTGCACATCCACACCTCTTGTTGGAATGAGATGCTCTGCCTCAAAAATTCAGAATGATGGTCTTCTCCCCATCTGTTGAATTCCCAGTTAATGTTAAGATTTTCTCCCATGAATGTTCCTTAAGTTTTTGAGGCCTGTTTCTGCTTTGCTATATTCGAATACAGACTATGATAATATAACATATACTAGAAAATTATCCATGTTGCTATCTATAATGCCATGTGTGGCAACGGTTCATGCTTCTCTGCCCTTAGACAAAATAAGGGACCCCTGCCCCACCACAATGCTGGGTGATTATTTGCAGAGCACACATCTGCAATGGTTAGATGTTTGTTTGGTAGTTGGAACTGTGGGTGAAGAACTTTCTTGAGAGTCCTACAACTCTCTTGATGGGATTTTATATATTTTTCTGTCACAAACATTGAGAGTAATAAGTGATCATGAAGACCTGATTTATTTGAATAAAAGTCTAGAAAGAAAATGGAAGCTTAGAAAGGACAAACAACTGATTATGTGTATCAATACAGTATCTCAGAGTCAATGAAAAGATTTACAGGAAGCAGAGAGTAGTCAGGGCTTGGGTGTCAGCTGTGTTGCAAAAAAGCAGGAAAATGAGTGGAGTTAGTTATTAGATGGCGACTGGAGCGCTGAGCTGGGCTGCAGTGGCGTGGCAGAATAAAGGAGGTGACAGAGGTCAGGGAAGTCAAGTGGTAAACATTAAAAAAGAAACAGGACGGTGCTCACAGGGGCAGGAAGGCTGAACACAGGGTTTTTCTTTCATTTCTCGGAGAAGGATTGCTCTGTGCAAAAGGAAAAATGGGAAACTCAGAGTACACGTGTTAGTTTTGTTTTTTGTTCACAACAGGGTCTCACTCTGTCATCCAGGCTAGAGTGCAGTGGCACAATCATGGCTCACTAAAGGTTCGAACTCCCAGGCTCAAGAGAGCCTCCTGCCTCAGCCTCCTAAGTAGACAGGACTATAGGTGTGAATGATTGCATCTGGCTAATTTAAAAAATTTTGGCCGGGTGCAGTGGCTCACGCCTGTAATCCCAGCACTTTGGGAGGCTGAGGAAGGCAGATAATCCCAGCTACTTGGGAGGCTGAGGCAGGAGAATCGCTTGAACCTAGGAGGCAGAGGTTGTGGTGAGCCAAGATCATGTCACTGCACTCTAGCCTGGGCAACAAGAGCGAAACTCCGTCTCCAAAAAAA